GCGCTTTGCATTTAAGAGGCTGGTACCTCGCTTTGGAACGATCGAGAGGACATCTGGTGTTCTTATTGGCGGTCAAGGATCATTTGCTCGTTTCTTGAAATTATTTCTGTTGTTGAATTTGTTACAAAAATTCTTTCTTTCTTTTTTTAAATTGACGGTGGATTTTAATTTGATAAATTAATGTAATTAGAAAGAGAGAAATAATTGTAATATAATATTTATTTGAAAATTTACTTCGATTGAAGCTATCTTCTTTGAATTAGATGAAGGGTATATGGAGAACGGAGGCAAAGGATGAAACGCTATGATTGGCCCCTCCCTCCTTAATAGCTTTGAACGGCTAATTGATTTCAGACGATCTATAATCTGTACTATAATTAAAGCCGAAGTTTCTGTTCATGATTATTTCTCCGACTATAAATCATGTCAAATACGATTCTTCTAATCTAATATTAATTGTTTTATCGTATGCTTTTTATTACGACACTTCTCTCTTTTTCAAAAGAAAAAAAAAAAAACATTAATTCATTACGATCTATTAATTAAAAATAGAACTAAAATCAAATTCAAAGACGTGTACAACGCAACTAAAGAAACCTAAAATAGGAATAATTATACTCATCGGTCCAAAGATGATGATACGATCGATAATATAAGCTTACCTCTGCTCGCGAGGATTCTTCAGTGATGTTTCGAGCGCGAATTACGCTTCGATTCCCGATAGCGACATCTCTTTTTCTTGACATCTTGCAGCCGCTCGTGGCTCTTGCTGGGCGGTTACACGAGCGGACAGGAAGAGAAGGTGTGAAGAGAAAGGAAGACAGGGAAAGGGAGGAAAGATCCGTGGCACAGAGAGCAGGTGGCACGTGAAGTGAATGACTGGAGGGACGATGGTGGTGGCTGCTGGTCCCGAGACGGAGAAGGGGAGAGAAGGTTTACCGTGAGCGAGGTGTGTAACTCGAGTGAGCGGATAACGCGAGTTTGGTGAATGAGGCGAATGAAGTGAAACGCTCCAAGTCGACGGCGCGTGCAACGAGTGGGTGATACGCTTTCTAATTATCGAGATTAATCCGACGGGAAATAGAGACGGCCGTGTGCCAGGATCGCGCGCTTTGCTCGAGCCATGCCGTTCTCT